GTATGTTTGTCCACTGAGGTGGACAGCCGTCCCCAAAGTGTTAAACGATTCATGAAAGTTTCATTTATTATTATCAATATTGGAATTTTTTTCTGAAATGGATATGTCTAGTGTTGAAATTGATATTGTTTAACTTGTATATTTTACCAGCTACAATATCGGATGCTGTCATTAGCATGAGATGTTTGGGTCTTCCCGACGCTATTCTTTGAATAATTCCAAACACTTCATGAAAATACTCCAGGAGCATTTGCACGTAGGTTTCATCTTGAACTGAAAAAATCATAGCGTCCGGTAATAGATCCTGAAAGTTTGTAATTATCATAAGTTCGAATAATATCAATAAAATATGAAATCTAACTTAACTCAAATATGTTTATAATTCACATATTAAAATTTTTATTTTGTAAAGAAAGGAATATGTTTGAACCACATAACTGAGGTAAAACTCTAAAAGTTATATCTTTTTAAATAAATTTTATACTAACTTTTTGAAGGAATAATTTACGTTAGCGCCAGAAAATCCTACTTTTTTAATGTTTCAGGACATTGTAACGAAAATTGGAAAAACTCTGTGTATATGAGTTAGATATTGAGTTTTTGTAGGCGTTTTACCAAAAACAGTTGCTCCATTCCATATAACTCAATAACGTGTGAATCCTGAACCAATTCAATTTTTGTGTATAACTTTTTTCGTTTTTAAACGTTAAAATACCAATATCAAACTATATGACAATTATTAGAACATACTAATAATATTTTCTTCACTCTTTGATTTTAATTATTTTTTCAATTTTTGGAAAAAAATCGTTATGAGGCCTAACTACTGCAACCGGTCAATTTGGAAAATAATCTTATTTGGGAAATGTAGATGCAGATTTATACAAAATATACCAAATGGATCAGTCAAATTTAGAATGAAGTTCTGGGCGCAGTGTGAAGTCAATAGTAAATATATAATAAGTGGGTTTTCCTATTTGGGAAATGACAAGAGGAGAGATTGAACAATTGTTCAATCCTACAATTGGTTAATTCGTCGTTCTTGTATAAATCAAATTTCATTACTCTCACGGTGTTAAAAAGTAAACCGAAAAATGCTTGTCTCTAGTTTGAAACGTTATCCAATAGAAATGGGAAAAAGCAGCAATAGTGTACTGAAATCTATTAGAAGTTGTATTAGTACATTGTTTGGTGAAAACCTAGTTTCACCAGATTCCTAAGAAATGCAACATGAAGTCGAAAATTTGTAGTTGATCAATATGCTGTGGTTCAATATATTGATCGTAGTTGGATAAAAGCGTAAATTGTAAAGAGTAAAAGCATTTTTAGCCACGAATACTTGTTTTGGTTATTATATATACATTTTTAACTTGACGATGCATATTTTAAATCTCAACAAATTCAAGTTTTTACAAAACTCCATAAGGGGGCGCTCATTAAGGGGTTACACCATTGTAGATTTTTCGAAAAACCAAAAAGATTTTTTTAGGCTTAAAATATACTTTGAACCTTTTAGAATATGAGGAAAAATATTCCATACCTAAAACTTTATTTTTTATTTGTAATTATGAGCTTTTTTCCATGCGCGTCGGGCTGCTCCGAACCGACACCGCTCAAATTCATTAACAAAAAAAATTATAAAGAAAAATGACAGCGTGTATCTTCTGAAATATACTAATATATGTTATTTTTAAACATTTATATTGCATAAATTAACTGTAAAAGCATTTTTAACCTATAGATGATCAGTGCAGAGTCAACACATATAAGGGTTGACTATATTGCGGCTGATATTGCTGGGGATAATTTCGACGATGGCCTAAGCAATATTTTATAAATGAAAATAGTTTTGGAGATTAATATTGGCATCTAAACATGTAATTTTTGTCTTAAAGTCGATTATAAATGTCTTGCCGAACGGTTTTTGACGGATGTGCCAAAAGTAGGACGCTCTAATATAAAATCATCAAAGGAAGAAAATAAGAAAAAAATTATAAAAATAAAAAGGCATCTGTATGTTACTGGGATATCAGATTAATAGTAAAAAATAATAAACTGATATTTTTTTTTAATTTTTTCTTATCTATAATTTATTTCAAAACTTTAAACGCGTTTTTCTTCAAACACGATTTTACAACGCGGCACGCAAAATAACTACAACAATTTGAATTATTTTCATTTGATTTTTTTACAGTATATTTAAAATCACATTTTTAAGTGCCCATCGTAGGACATCTTATATATATATATTAATTTGTTCATCAATTATTAACAATTTACTATCCACTTTTTTCGTTGAAATTCAACGATTTTGAATAAAGTGCTCGCCAAAAGAACAAAAATCGATATTTTTCAAATCCGCTACGATGGGCACTTAAAAATGTTATTTTAAATATACTGTAAAAAAATCAAATGAAAAAAATTAAAATTGCTGTAGTTATTTTGCGTGCTGTGGAGCGCCTCCAATTTGACGCGGCTCGACGAAATGGCTGTGGATCCGTCGTTTTTATTTTTTTTTTACAATTATATTTTATTCTGTTACTTTAAAGTACAACAAATAACTATCTTTAATATCATTATTTTATTAAATTTTCTTCCGCCCGAAAAAAATGCTAAAAACATACGTTTTTTTAGGCTTCTACATTGGTGTAACCCCATAATCACGTTATCGATTTTTAAGGATAATAATTTATGTAATTAGTCGTAAATCGAACATCGCGAATGAAATTCACCTGTAAAACCATTCTCGCTTCTAATAGTGCAATATCCTCCCTGGACCAGCACAATCGCGATAAATCCAATTCGCTGAAAAGTACAGTTCCTACTGTCCTGTTATAATTGAACTCCAAAGAGCTGACAGCAGGTAAAAATAAAATGGATGAGATGTAAATCCAAGAACAAGAAATAATCAGGATCGACATTTTTGAAAATGTCTTTCAACTTGATACAAAAAATTGAATTGCCATTTGATTTATTCAAAAGTTTATTTTAAAAAATGATTATTAAAAATATAAAAATGTACTAAATAAATAAATGAATATACATGTACAAATGATACGTCATTCTAATTATTTTGCTCAATGAATTAAAAAAATATTTATTTATTTAATATTTAATTAATTATTATAATTATTATTATTTTAGTCATTCGTATTATACAATTAATAACCATATATAATTAATATAATTAATATAATAATTAATAATCATATATATTAAGTTCCTGAATGACAAGATAGTGTTTTTGCCAGGGAATCCGATTTGCTAATTGTGTTTTCGCGTAGTTTCAAGTCATTCTTAATCGTTTGAGACCAAATTTGGAGAACGTATGTGTATGTATCTATAATTACATTTTCATTCTTTCACTGTCAAAATATATCACTACAAAATGTATGTAACAGTTAAAAACTCTTAGTAATCTATGTCTACAATGGAAATCTAGAAATAAAGATGGGAACATTCGTTTTATGATCAAAGCTAAATTTTATGTGTGTATTAGCTAGTTTGTTTGAAATATCAAAATATAGGGCATCATTTCTTTAAATTTTGTTTTTGATTAGTGTTTATATATAATTGATAACGTAAATTTATTCAACGTGAATAAATAACAGTATCATTTTTTACAAAATCTTCAAATTATAAAAAAATATGTAGTTCGAAAATGGCAAAAGATACAAATAAATATTGAAATTAATTAATTTTTTTATAATTTATTGGAAATGTTTGATATCAAATATATTATTATTAAATTCCCTAAGGAGATGCTTATGTTTTTATCAAAAAATCCGATTCGCTAATTTTGTTTTCTCGACGTTTCAAAAGACATTCTGAATCGAATGAGACCAAATTTGCTGTAAATCGACGTTTTCCCAAAAACGGCTGGATCGATTTCAAAAATTTAAAAGCCATTCGACGTATTGCGATGAGGACCAGCGTTCAATTTTCCGCGACGATCAGCCAAGCCGTTTCTTCGTAAATAGCACAAAAGGGAAAAAAAATTCGTCCACGTTTTAGCCCACAGTTTTGAATCGATTTTGAAATTCAAAAACCGTTCGAATAATATTTGTTGGGAATCGTGCTGATGAGTTTTTGGTACAGATCGGCCGGGCCGTTTTCTTGTAATAAAGCGTTGAAAATTTTTTTTCGACGATTTTTATGATTTTTTTTTTGACGGTGGATACCATAGTCTAATAGATCACACTAAAATATTACGGCCCTATGACAAGTCCTTTAGTTTTAAAAATTCTTTAAAGTTTGCAAACATTAGTATCGTTGTTTTGGCATTTGTCAAAATTAGACCTTTCATCGACGTTTTCTCAAAAACGCCTGCACCGATTTCAGAAATTTAAAAGCCATTTGATGTATCACGATGAGGAGTATCGTTTGTGCGACGATCTGCCAAGCCGTTTCTTTGTAATTTGGAAATGGAAAAAAGTGTTAAATCTTTGAATCAAATCAAAAACTGTACGAAAGATATTAGTTCAGAATCATACTGATTAGTTTTAGGTGAAAATCTACCGAGCCGTTTTCTTGTAATTACCCGTTGAAAAAAAAAATGTAAGCCGATTTTCATGGAACATTTTTTGGCGATATATATCATGGTCTTATACAACTTACTGAAATATCAATGCCTTTCCACAAGTAGTTTAATTTTAAAAATTCATCAAAGTTTGTGAAAATGAGTAGTTCTTTTAAAGTTATTAAAATTAAAATTATACGATTTACTTGGTATAACGATAGAGTACTTGGTCTTAATGAATATACTAAACAATTAAAGTCCTACAAAAACTGGCTCAATTATAAATATTATTGATTTTTGAAAATTTGCTTTTAAAGAATACTTCAACCGCGTTGACGTGTTCAATTTTCAATAATGTGTAATAAATCCACTTCGAATATTTTTAACCACTCAAAAAATAATTTATTTTTTATTGATTGTTTTTTATTAGAATGAATGTTTTAATATTAGAAAATATCAGTAAAACATAAATACGTTTTAGGTTGGGTAGTAGTGCCGATCAAAGATGCCGAGGATCGTCCAATTAAAACTTTTATGCTTCAAATTGCTGTGGTCAGTAATCACCAAAACGGCAGGGATACTCATATGAGACAGGTATATTATTAATATATATATTAATATAACATATATATATATATTTATATATATATATATATATATTATATATATATATATATATATATATAATATAGTAGATAATTATTTTCAATACAGGTTCGAGTGCATGCTCCTTTAGATCCATATGGCAGTCTAAGCGGAACTGATAATCCTACATCAGAAGTTTTCAAACCATTTATGACAATAAGATAGCTAATTTGGTTTATATAGACTATAATTTCACAGTTTAATTTTATTTCGAATGCCATACAATATAATCTAATTCTTGCGAAAGCTTGGTTTAATAGATACTTATATAAACCACATAGATTTAAAAGTACAGCAAAAATATGTTTCAAACTTAAAGCTTACATTCTACATAAAATCGATGAAGTGTAATTCACATCTAGGAACTATTATATGAATAGGTATTGTTAGAATTAAATAATAGATATTTATTAAATAATAAATAATAATATATTGAAGAATTGCATAAAAAGTAATTATCTCTATTTTGTGCAGAATATTTATATTTTTATGCAGAATTTTATATTTTTGAAATTAGAAATTTGTTATGATGTATTTTTTGTATAATATCGTTTTTAGTAAACGCATTATGAGGTTAAATTTACATTAACGTTTTATAGGAAATTATATTTCTATACGTTAATATTATTAATATTATGATATATTTATGAAATATAACATCACTTACAAAACGATTTTGTTCTTTTATATTACATAATATAAAAATATATAACATAAATAACACAATACTGTAATTTCATAACTGTAACTTATTTAAAATAAGAAATTGAATAAAATACCCTACATTCGACTCTTACTTATCGCACAGCATCCTACGCTCAGGAGAGCAGAAAAATCGTTTTTTTTTTTTTTTAACATTTTTTATATGGCAGTTTTTTTTTTTTAAGATTTTGTGCTGAACCCAATAGCATCACGATAACGGTCATTTTTATATAAATGTCAATGGTGACGTGGTATATGAAATAATTCGATATAAGTAGTACAAATAGAAAAGATGAACCTGATGATTAATTTGAATAAATGAAATGAGGACAAAATATACGCGTACAAAATATATTTTCATCAAAATTACAAACATGTTTTTAAAAATATATAAAATACAGAAAAATTAAGCGTGCAACGTGGGCACGTTCTTGCGTGTCAGGACTATGACTATAATTAGAGAGACTATCCGTGATATGCTGAAAACACTAAAAGATAGCAAAAAATTTGTTCAAAGTTTGCATATTGCATATGGCGATAGATAACGCCTTGGCGACTTGACTGTTCTGGTCATCTTTCGCACGCTATTGCGAGCTCGACTACGAAACATAGAACCAACAGCCGTCGAGTTGCACAAATAAACCACTGAATGGATATTTTAAATTAATTATTTAAAATTCATTAAATTCGAAATTAATTAATATTAATATTAAAAAATAATTGTTATGCACAGCTTGCCATTTTTGCGTAATTATAAAGAATTAAACTATTAACCACTTCACACCAAAATTTTTTTTCGCAAAATTTTTTTTCCCAATTTTTTTTTGATCAAAATTTTTTTTTCCAAAACTTTTTCCCCAAAATTTTTTTGGCCAAAATTTTTTTGACCCAAATTTTTTTGACCAAAATTTTTTTAATCAATTTTTTGACCAAAATTTTTTGGAGAAAAATTTTTTTCCCAAATTTTTTTTCTCTAAATTTTTTTGACAAAATTTTTTTGCCAAATTTTTTTGACCACAATTTTTTTGACCAAAATTTTTTGGGCCAAAATTTTTTTGACCAAAATTTTTTTTACCAAAAATTTTTTGGACCAAAATTATTTTCCCAAAATATTTTTGACCAAAATTTTTTTGACCAAAATTTTTTGGACCAAAATTTTTTTTACCAAAATTTTTTTGACCAAAAATTTTTTCCCAAAATTTTTTTGCCCAAAATTTTTTTGACCTAAAATTTTTTTCTGAAAATTTTTTTGACTAAGATTTTTTTTGACCAAACATTTTTTGGACCAAAGTTTTTTTGACCAAAATTTTTTTTTCGAAATTTTTTTTGACCAAAATTTTTTTGACCAAAAATTTTTTGACCAAAATTTTTTTGACCAAAATTTTTTTGACCAAAAATTTTTTTCCCAAAATTTTTTGGGCCAAATTTGTTTGACCTAAAATTTTTTTCTGAAAATTTTTCTGACTCAAATTTTTTTGACCAAAATTTTTTGGGCCAAAATTTTTATGACCAAAATTTTTTTGACCAGAAATTTTTTGGACCAAAATTTTTTTGACCAAAATTTTTTTGACCAAAAATTTTTTTGATCAAAATTTTTTTCCGAAAATTTTTTTGACCAAAATTTTTTCCCCAAAATTTTTTGGGCCAAATTTGTTTGACCTAAAATTTTTTTCTGAAAATTTTTCTGACTAAAATTTTTTTGACCAAAATTTTTTTGACCAAAATTTTTTGGACCAAAATTTTTTTGACCAAAATTTTTTGGACCAAAATTTTTTTGCCCAAAATTTTTTTGACCAAAAATTTTTTCCCAAAATTTTTTGGGCCAAATTTTTTTTGACCTAAAATTTTTTTCTGAAAATTTTTTTGACTAAGATTTTTTTGATCAAACATTTTTTGGACCAAAGTTTTTTTGACCAAAATTTTTTTTTCGAATTTTTTTTGACCAAAATTTTTTTGACCAAAAATTTTTTGACCAAAATTTTTTTGACCAAATTTTTTTTGACCAAAATTTTTTTGACCAAAATTTTTTTGACCAAAAATTTTTTGGACCAAAATTTTTTTGACCAAAAATTTTTTTCCCAAAATTTTTTGGGCCAAATTTGTTGGACCTAAAATTTTTTTCTGAAAATTTTTCTGACTAAAATTTTTTTGACCAAAAATTTTTTTGACCATAATTTTTTTGACCAAAATTTTTGGGCCAAAATTTTTATGACCAAAATTTTTTTGACCAGAAATTTTTTGAACCAAAATTTTTTTGACCAAAATTTTTTTGACCAAAAATTTTTTTGATCAACATTTTTTTCCGAAAATTTTTTTGATCAAAATTTTTTCGACCAAAAATTTTTTTGACCAAAATTTTTTTGACCAAAATTTTTTTCCCCAAAATTTTTTGGGCCAAATTTGTTTGACCTAAAATTTTTTTCTGAAAATTTTTCTGACTAAAATTTTTTTGACCAAAAATTTTTTTGACCAAAATTTTTATGACCAAAATTTTTTTGACCAGAAATTTTTTGGACCAAAATTTTTTTGACCAAAATTTTTTTGACCAAAAATATTTTTGATCAAAATTTTTTTTCCGAAAATTTTTTTGACCAAAATTTTTTTGACCAAAAATTTTTTTGACCAAAATTTTTTTGACCAAACTTTTTTAACCAAAATTTTTTTGACCAAAAATTTTTTGAACCAAAATTTTTTTGACGAAAATTTTTTTGACCAAAAATTTTCTTGACCAAAATTTTTTTGACCAAAAACTTTTTTGACCAAAATTTTTTTGACCAACATTTTTTTCCCAAAATTTTTTTGACCAAAATTTTTTTGCGAAAATTTTTTTGACTAAAATATTCTTGACCAAAATTCTTTTGACCAAAATTTTTTTGATTAGCAATATTTTTTGGATAGTAAAAAATGTGTTCAAAGTTTGCATATGCATATGGCGATAGATGGCGCCTGGCGACTTGACTTTTCTGGTCATGTTTCGCACGCTTCGAAATATTGCGAGCTCGACTACGAAACATCGACCCAACAGCCGATTCGACGCATTTTAGTTGCAAAACTCGGGTGTCTAAGAGTCCCAGTGACCAGTTTAATGTCAAGTGAGTATCAATCACTTCTGTCAGGCCTCTCGTTAGCACCGTGCCTCGAGGTCCGCTAGAGCAGAACCGATCGTCTCATCTTGATTTTTGTGATCGCAGACTCGGGAGATAACGGTATGGTGCCTCTATCTTCTCCCGTTGCCTGCGGCTATTGGGGCGTACTGACAGATTGGGGCTGTCAGCTTTGTGTGTGTTGCATGTTGCATGCGCATGGTGTGTTTGAGTGCGTGTGAGCGAGTGAGAAGCGTTTGCGTTCGTCGACTTTGGAAGACCGGGTCCAGAGTCAGTCGACTAGCGATCGCAGCGTGAATTCGGCGATCGTGCCATATGTCGGACTTTGGAAAACCGGATTTCAAAGTCTTTGTCGATCTCAGAGCGAATCCTCCCCCTCGTGGCTGACACCTTATCGCGGTGAGGGGGTCCAGTTGGGCGATAACCGTCCAATTGCCAAGAGCAGCCACTTTTCACCACTTATAAAAGGTAATCCATATTGTTGAACATGGAAATACATGTTTTTAAATTTAATTGAATTAATAATATGTTGTATAGATTTATTATATATATATAGAATATATAGACTTGTTTAAACTGCACCTTATTTTTTCATTCCATCTTTCAATATTTTTCAATATATAGAATGCTTGCGCCTTTGCGGGTATTAAAACTTCGGTCACCAATTTTTTTCCCCAATTTGTTTGACCAAAAATTTTTTTCCCAAAAATTTTTTTGACCAAAAATTTTTGTCCCGAAATTTTTTGGGCCAAAATTTTTTTGAAAAAAATTTTTGGTCAAAAAATTTTTGAAAAAATTTTTGGTCAAATAAAATTTTGGTCAAAAAATTTTTGGTCAAAAAAATTTTGGTCAAAAAAATTTTGGTTCAAAAAATTTTTGCTCAAAAAAATCTTAGTTAAAAATTTTTTTGACCATAATTTTTTTGACCAAAATTTTTTGGGCCAAAATTTTTATGTCCAAAATTTTTTTGACCAGAAATTTTTTGGACCAAAATTTTTTTGACCAAAATTTTTTTGACCAAAATTTTTTTGACAATTTTTTTTTCCGAATATTGGTCAATGTCGGTACAAATTTTTTGGGCCAAAATTTTTTGGGCCAAAATTTTTGGGTCAAAATTTTTTTTGACCAAAAATTTTTTTCCCAAATTTTTTTGGGCCAAAATTTTTTTGAGTCAACATTTTTTGGGCCAAAATTTTTTAGATCAAAATTTTTTTGGGTCAAAATTTTTTGGGCCAAAATTTTTTTTGCCCAAAAATTTTTTGACCAAATTTTTTGACCAAATTTTTTTGAGTCAAAATTTTTTGGGCCAAAATTTTTTTGACCAAATTTTTTGGGTCAAAATTTTTTGGGTCAAAATTTTTTGGGTCAAAATTTTTTGGGTCAAAATTTTTTTGGGCCAAAATTTTTTTTGACCAAAAATTTTTTGACCAAATTTTTTTGGGCCAAAATTTTTTTGGCCAAAATTTTTCGGTCAAAATTTTTTTGAGCCAAAATTTTTGGGTCAAAATTTTTTTTGACCAAAAATTTTTTTCCCAAATTTTTTTGGGCCAA